CAGTCTAAAAGTCACTTCTTTGCATGACATACACATTTATGTATACATAGAGTTATTTCTTTTGAAATTGATTGCTTCCTTCCTTTCTTTGGAAGATTCCCACTTTTTTGTATCAAGATGGAGTAGCAGAAGCCAAAAATTAATCACTTCTAAAAATATAACTCTATCAATTTATCTTTACTATGTAATGAATTGAGTAACATAACATATTTTTGTATTGGAAGTCGAAATTGATCTACGGGCACTTAATTGAATAATAGAAACTATCACGAAATCGAAGGAACTGTCGCTGCCACTCAGTTAATGGAGAATATATTAATTTATTCAACAATCAATTTGATGAGAAGGGAATATCCACAATGAACGACAAAAGAAAAACAGGCGTTCAATATGAAGCTATTGTCGATTTACGACTATTTCATTCGTTGTCGAACTGTCAACAAGTATAGATGTCTTTTTCTGAGTGGCATCAAAAATGTTGAATAAGAAACACTGCATGGTGTGCATCGTAAATCCTCTTCTGAAATCCACACAATGGATTATATCATACAGGGGATACTGTGAACATTCTAGGAAATCTTTTTCAGAAAGAGCATATTTCAAAAAAGTAAAAGGAGGTTCGGTGGTATTATGTATCGCTTTACTCACTATATTTGCCCTACTGTGGAACCTGTATCATATCATGACCACATGTAGTGGAGATTCGGTAAGATGTCTTTTACTGACATCTGATGAACTATTCGGCTTTCACGGTGTTTGCTTGTACATTATACTGAGAATAAGAACTAAAAATTTCTTCTTGTCTACGAATATCATTTGTGATATTTTGGCAGAAAGCTCTAGGAATGGTATAACACATTTGTTATCATCCAACTTCTCCGGGAAGTTCATGATGCGATTTTTGGTTGGATGTATAGTTGTGTATATCTGGTACGCACTGACCGTATTGGATGTATATTTATTTTTCCATTCCAATGGATTCGACCCAAGGATTGTTGCCAAGTTGATAGTTACTATCACTGAAATTTCGTCAGTAACGGTATATTCAACTTATCTTCAACTAGTTTTCATGGATCGTCATATCTTGAAGAAGATATACGTTGGTATATGCAATGATTTGAACAATTACTCACCAGTCATTGTGGGATCACTGGAAAAACAGCTTAGAGGGTATGTGGGTATTCTCAGGCGAATGAAAATTTCATATGGATATTTCAATGAATTCCTCAATCCCACGTTGCTGATATTCCTCATGATGTCGGAAATGGTACTGATCATCAACACTTATATTTTCATCACACCTTGGAGCGAAAATTACTTGATAGAAATAAGGTCGCTACAATTCCGAACATTGGTGTTAATTGTGATACTGGTTGTGGTAGTAAATGTACTAGATCATCAGCAACTGGTGAGTTCTACCTGATTTAAAGATCAATTTTAATTGTAGCGGAAGGTCAGGCAAAGTAAATACCTTAAGATTTAGGGCTTCAGCAGAAAGGGTATAGAGTACAAAAACGAAATAACTAGCACAAATTAGTCTTTATTTATTAGTTTTACAATTACCATCATCAGTTATCCTTCATAATAATTATGAACTGCGAATAAAATTTTATAAAAAACGAAATTATTCACTTTGCCCGGATTCCCGGGTAATAACATAATAAGTTATAATACTGAGAATGCGAAAATGCAAGCTACTAGTTTGCCTTTCAGCTTTGGCCATATTTGAATAGGTGGGCTCGAACATTCATTTAAAATAAAAACGGACGAATGACTTCGATGAAAAGAAAATATAGGTCATGAGTAGGAAGGGTTATGGAAAAAATTCGGAAATATTGAACAGAGATGAGACCAATCAGGAAACGGTACAAAGAAGGAGTATTACGGACAGTTTTTCGGACTTGGGAATACTAATTAAATGGTTAATTGAGACAGTTGCGGAAGAGGGTAGCGAAATGGTCGCGAAAGTCAGTAGCGAAAGGGGGTTGCGAGAAGGAATTTTACAACAGGAGATTTTGCGATAGAGGGGTTGCAAAAAGAATCCTTGGCGAAAGAGAGTTGCGAAAGTTAATTGGGGGACAGTGGCGATCTGGCAGTTGCGTGAAGTCGGTCGCGAAAGTGATAGAAAAGTTGCGGAAGTTAGTTGAAAAGTCAGTTGCGAAAAGATTCCTTTGCGATTGGGAGAGTTGCGACAAGGAAATTTCCGAAATGAGATTTTGCGATAGTGGAATTACCGTAGATTGTGGTCAGTTGATTGTTGTTTCGTTTGATGACACTTAGTATTTCACACGAATACCGTACCAGAGAGGGAGACCAGAACCCAGTATAGTATCGTGAATCAATTTGAAATTTTACTATATGGGTTTAGAGAGAGAGAGGATGTCATTTTAATTTTGTAATAATTGTCTTATTATTATTATGTTTCGGGAACTATGAAAAGTTAAAATAAATTACACTACACCCCTTTCATATGTGTAAATATCATATCAATTAGTACACACGAGTTGAAAGCTAAAGAATAGAACGGCGCTTAGGCAATGTCAAATAATCACTTCAGAATATTCGCGAAACTTGAAATTCCATCTAATGAGAGAATATATAATATTTCACAAGTCGATAAATAGATAATTTTTGTTTGACAGTCAGCTATTTGAGACGTGCTTTACTGTTGAATTTTGATCTCACCTTTCGATCATTTTTGCTTATTGCTTTTGTTTCACTTGATGATCCCTCTCTCAGTCTGTTGATGGTAGTTGGATCCCTGGTTCAGATGCTGTCCCGTGTAAGTGGGTTTTTGGTATACAAATGTTTCCCATTCGGTGTCGGTCCTCTTCACCAAAACGTCTAAGAATGGCAATTCATTGTGGACTTCCTTCTCCATTGTGAAAGTGATAGAAAGACTTATGTTGTTGATGTGCTTCGGGAAGGTGTCTAGTTCTGCATTTCCATGGTTCCGTAACTGGTGGCATGGGTTATGTTGGCTTTGAAGACCGCTATGATCTGTGACATATTTGCATACATCTGTGACTTGAGAAAACCCCACAAGAAATATTCTAACGGGGTGAAAACGCACGATCTCGGTGGCCAGTTCATATCACCTTCACGTAAGATGACCATGCCCTCAAATCGCTGTGCAGTATATTCAATGTGGTATGAGCTGCGTGACACGTAGCACCATTCTATTGAAACCACATGTGATTGGTGTCCAGATCATCCAATTCAGACCAAAAGAAGTTAATAATCATCAACCTATAGTGCTCGCCGTTTATAGGGATGATCTGCCAACGTCGTTCTCTAAGAAATAAGGACCGATGATGTCACCAGCCTAAAATCCACACCAAACAGTGACTTTTTCGGGATCCATTGCCCTTGGATCTTATTGGCTTCACAGCACATTGGGCGAACATACGTCGTTGTCTACAAATGTGTTACTTGCACATGTTTTTGAATACTATAATAACCTCTGCTAGAAGTCCATTATATCTCAAAGTGGAGTGCAGAAGATTTGCGGAGAATAAAAACTCAAAGTCGTCTTCACAATTTAATGTCACCATCAGATGTTGGAGCGGTGAAACTATCAACCAGTACATGTTTTGAACCTATATATGTTCATCATCAGCTGATACTTAAAATTCTACAATAAAAGAAGAACAACGTAACAATAGTTAATACAATGCAGTATAAAATACTTACATGGAGAAGAAAATATTTTATTTTATAACGGAGAAAAGAAAGTCAATTCATATCACTAATGAAACGAATATAGTCACAATGACATTATATTGATGAAAAAATATTTTTATACAATAGAAAAAAAGGAGAACTTCACAACATCATATTTCTCAGTAATTCTAGTGCTNAATAATGCGGTTAGAGAATAAATTTCTAGTGTAATAATCGTCTAAGTTTAGGTTTCTGAAATTGTCAATTGATTCAACATGTTCAAGAACTCTTGTTTTAATTTTCCTACCACTTTGTCCGACATACTGAGCAGATCCGTTTGGTGGTGAACACGAAATTCTGTAAACGCCTGATTTATGGGAGATGTGTAGGTACTTCATCTTTAGTACTGACTAACAATTTGGAAATAAGATTCACAGTATAAAATAAAACAATAATATCATCACAGTAACGTCTGAGAATATTTGAAATATCATATGATACTTTACCTAAATAGGGAATAGGACAATATTTATTGGAGTTATTGGTAGAGGTTCAAGTACGATTAAGAAATTTATTTCTGTGTTTGTTATAGATTATATTAATTAGATAAGCAGGGACACCATTATTATGACCTATCTCTTTATCGAAATTTTCAGGTGACATGGAAAGGAATAATCTGTGGAATAATGAATTGAAAGCTTCTTACAAAACAGACTGAATGAATGACAACTAATTTGACAGATGTAGTTCCAACAAGATGGCCGTTTTCAATTGTCAAAGTCTGTAAATCCATATTGGGAGACCCCATTCCTGCAGAATTAAATTTTCAATCTCGTTTCATGAACTAGCATCAAACTGCTTGTCACAATCAATCGATAAAACGTTGATCTATGATCTATATTTCCTAGGATGTCACAGATAAAATTTTCAAGATTTCTTCAATGAAGCCACGGACCTATACTGCCGTGTGAGTTTCCAAACTGTATTTCAGTATGTGACACCGGAAAGAAAGTAGTCATTCACCCCAATATTTGAAATTCCACCCCGTCTCAGAAGTTTTATAACTATATCAAAAACAAACAACGTAAATTGCATGCGATGGAGCGTTTACAAAATAGCAAATAAAGTTGTTTCAATTCCATGATAGTTGATTATTAACGATGATAACACAGTTAGAATGCTCCTTCAGAAATTATCAATTAAGTTATATGTTATTATCTACAGCCAAACACACGAACAAGTGGACTGTAAATTGATGTGATGAACGGAAAAATATCAACCACACGAAACCTACGACATGCCAGTAATTTGATGTAGGAATTAGTTGCGAGCTCATAATGAAAACATGTTTCCTTTCGAGTGCTTGAAAGTTCGAGAAGTTGAAAACTGTATAGTTTGCATTCTCCGACCATGCGTAGAATTTGCTCCTTGGCTCATGCCTTACAAAGGATACTGCGAGCACACGGAGAAAACCTACTCAGAAAAACCGCAATTCAAAAAACTGAAAGGCTACTGGTGGATTTATATCATCATTCCCCTAACCACGCTAGCACTACTGTGGAATTTATATTATATGTCGAGGATTTGTTCTGAAGATTCAGTTACATGTTTGCTGCTTGTGACAGATGAACTAACAGGATTCTACGGAGTTTCCTTCTACATCGTTATTTGGATGAACTCGAGATTTTATTTGGCAGCTACCAACATCACGTGTGATATCAGCTCGGAATGGTCGAAATTCGGAAACGGGCCCTTGGTGTCTCCAAATGACCGAAAACAGTTCCGTTTGAGATTTCGTCTGGTAGTTGTTGCAATATATATCTCGTACTCCATTATAATACACCACTTCTACATGCTTATCCAACATTATGGATTCAATTGCCAGTCCTTTTCTAAAATGATAGTGTTAGGAAGTTCCATCATCCAAATAACTGTTAACTCATCTCTCATACTACAGTCTTCTCTGAATCATTTCATACTGAGAGCAATTTATATAAAAGTACAAGTCGATTTGAGCGATGAAGTTGAATCCAGTAAACTCGCCCTGCCCCAAGGACGAAACATCAACGCCCATGCAAGAATGTGCAAAAAAATGGCTCTGATGTACAGGTATTTGAACGAATACCTCAATCCCACTTTCCTGATTTTCCTGATAACCTCAGTTGCAATACTTATAATTAATATTTACATTTTCATAACACCCTGGAGTGTGAAACATCTACTAGAAATTAGGTCCTTGCAGTGGCGTACAGGGTTATTAATTGTGATGTTGTTTGTGAATGTAACAGAAGTGGATCTTCAGCAAATGGTGAGTCTATAGACATTTTAGGTAATTTAGATATATGGGTTGTTCATTAAGTATGTACCATAAATTCAACAGACGATTCTTTAGGTAATTTTGAGACGGAATGTTCATATAAACATGGGTCCGCAAATCCTTCGTTCTCAAGATACAGGGTATTGAAATGAAACTAAAAAAAAAGTTATTCGTGAATATCTTAAATATCCATCACCAAATTTTGTTATAATTTGACAATGATATTTATAACATTAGGGAGCTAATTTAGCCTGAACGTGATTCAATGTATTGAGTCCAGTGGCGTCTCGAGCGGATTTTGAACGAATATTTTTGACTTAAAAATGTACGCCACTGACTTTTGTGAGATTTTCATCATCTCTTTGAATTGAGCAATTAGGAATACAACTTTTTTGTCTCTTGAATTTTTTTCGTATCTTGCTTAGTTTTTAACAAAAAAAAAGTCGACCTAATTGCATATCCCTGGACCTCACAAGGAATAATATGGGGAATTAAATGTTTCTTTTGTAAATTATTATTTTTACAATTTTTCATTACTAATTATGTAACAATAACAACAAATGTTAAATAACATTAACATCTAACTAACTAACGAATTGCACTAAATTAAGTGTTGGAAATGGCCTCCTTCGGCTTCAATACAACCGTCTAGCCGCCGCATCATTGAATTTCGCACTCTTCTGGAAATACCTGGCGTATTTTTTATTATGTCACATGAATTAATGATTTTATTCCGTAAATCCTCTTCACTTTGAATAACAGTTTTGTATACCAACGCTTCAAGTTGTCCCCAGAGAAAATATTCTAAGGGATTCATTTCGGGTGAGCGAGGTGGCCATGGGTGTGGGCCTGCTCTCCCAATCCAGCGATTATAATAATTTTCATCCAAAAATTGCCGTGCCACTACACTGAAGTGTCGTGAAGCACCATCGTGCATGTACCACATACGGAATCTTCCCATGACTGGAATTTCTTCTAGAAGTCCAGGTGAAACAGATTCTAAAAACCTTTGGTATCCTTCTCCATTAAGTCTAGGTGGAATGAAATGAGGCCCAGTGAGATGGTCACCGACAATTCCAACCCAAATATTGAAAGAAAACTGTTCTTGAAAATTATTTTCTATCAAGGCGTGTGGATTGTTTTCAGCCCAAACGTGATTGTTGTGGAAGTTAATAACTGAATTGCGAGAAAAACAACCCCTGTAATCTTCAGTGTTGAATTTTATAGTTGTCAACCTTGTTCATTTAATGAGAGAAATGAAAATTTCTATGTTTTTTACCACTTTTATTTGTAACTAACGTTACTGCAGTTTCGTCCTATATGGACATTCTCAAACTCATACAATAAACTCATTCATTCATTCATTATGATCTCCTACCACGTAGTAACGGCTACATCCATCAATTTATTGTTTTTAAAAACTTAAAAACTCCCTGCATAACCTAGTTTTCAGATTGCACATGTTAGTATTATACTTAATAATGAAGTTGAACCCAAAACGAGTCGTGAAAATTAAATGAATAGTGGAATCATTAGAATGATCATGAATTTCCACAAAATAAACAAGTCATCAATCACACAAGTTGGTAATAATCGACCTATAGTGCTCGCCGTTGACAGTGATGACCTGGCCAATATCGTTCTCAAAGGAATATGTACCAATAATATGGACACACCAAACAGTAACTTTTTGGGATTCATTGGACGCACTTGGATCTCATATGGACTGGTATCATCCCAAATTCTACAATTCTGTTTGTTCACGTACCCATTAATCCAGTAATGGGCCTCATCGCTGAAGATGATTTTTGATGGAAATCACACCATATTGTGAATAATCCTCGCGGTGGGAAAATTATTATTTGCAGGTGTTGTTGAATGCTTTTTTCGTTTATGGTGATTTGGCGAAACAGACTGAATAAATGACAACTAATTTGACAGATTGAGCTTCAAGAAGATGGCCGATATCAATTATCAAAGTTCGTAAGTCCCTCTTGGAAGACCTTCTACAATAATATCCATCGCAGTGATATTCAGAATACCGCCAGCAAGAAGATCAAACCTTTCACAACAAAGTAGTAATGTTATTGAAGTACGGAATATTACGAATCAATCCACTGAAGGCGAAGGAGAAATCGCACGAAAAAACACATTATTCAGAGTTGCAAGGTTTACTGATTTGCAGTTGATCTTCTGTTTCAGTTCAGGAGCTACAATTCTACTGTTTGGTGGGAGATAAAATCTACTGATGATCCAATTCACTTTCTACAATAATTTTTAAATGACTTTAACTAGTGGAAATAACCTTGATTTGTAAAGCGTACTCATAAAATATATTTTCTACTGTTTTTCAGACATCAAATCTACTGCTTAGCATGATATTGATCTGGCAATACCAGCCGTGGTGTTATGGTCCGATTCCGTTCTTCACAAATACAATATGACTCAGCAAATAAGACAATGATCTATTGATTCAGTTGGCAAGAAGTCAGCTAGTTCCTAAATAAATATATCATTAGGTTTTCAAATATATTTGATAGCTCGACCATTATCATATCAGTTATCAACGAGAAACCTACACGATAATCGAGAATAACTAATCTCAAACATCATAAATTCCGCATGGAACAAATATCGATTGGAAAACTTGTCAATATGTTCCTTTCTCGCCAGTGATGACGAAGCGTTTCATGGATTTTTTCGTAAATCAATTCCATGTCAAAGAAATAGAAAACTGCATGCCGTGCATTTTGAGATACGCAGTACCTCATCTCAAGTGGATCAGTCCCTATCGATCACATTGCGAACACGCTAGAGGAGAGTTATATTCAGAAAAACCTTACATGGGGATCGATAGGAGTTGGGACTGGTTATTTTACTCAACGACAATTTTCACAACTTTCACAATGCTGTGGATTCTATACTATGTCATTACTTCCTCCACTGACCACTCACTGCTTTTGATTACCCACGTGATTTATTGCTTTTATGGGACTATTGCTCATATTTGTGCAATCTGGAAGAGCGAATGGTACTTGGCATCAATCAACATGTGGTGTAAAATTTTCGAAGATCGAAAATTCTTAGGCTTCACGGACTTGATGAGTCTCAGATATCGCCGAAGGATACGTTTGAGATGTTTGATCCTGATCTACTTCTTGTGTGTTAGTTGTGTAGTTTTCACTTTGATGCACGGTTTTCAAATATACCAATATGGATACTCTCTAGATTCTGTTACTGTTCTCATGTTACTATCAACAACAATCATCCAATTTTCAATACATGCCATTTTCGTAGCAGTGAACTCGATCTTTTTTTATCTTCTTAAAGCAATATACAATGACGTGATAGACGATATATCTCTCTTTCAATCACACTCAGCCGAGGTACTAGAGAAGAGGCTGAAGCAGCATAATCGATTCATTTTTCAAGGTGGAAGCGCCATTCAATATTACAACAACCACTTATCTGCAGGTCTTACAGTACTCTTTCCAGCTGTTCTAGCTGTACTCATCATCAATATTTACTTATGGGTTACACCAAGGGATGAGAAATATTTTCTGGATATCAAATTTCTTCAACTTCGTACAGTTTTCTTGATTCTGGGAATTTTTGAACTGGCCCTCTCACTGGACAAGAATAATATGGTAAGTGCTTCTTTGTCATTATGAGTTCATTACGTAAATGTGGTCCTTCTGCATTATAAAAATTTGGACGACCCATGACTGATATTGAGTTTTGGGGTTGAAAACTAGGCTAAATTCTTTCTCATCGACTGGATTTGTTTAAGAAAGCTGGAAACAATTCGCTTTGTCACACTGACGAAAAATACATATATTTTCTCGAACTATTCATAATCTGAATTCATTTCCTCTCAATAAATCAGGGCAAATGACATCATAATTTCCTTACTATACTATAACAATTTTCAATTGACGGTGATTCATTAGCAACGTCGCACTTGAAGTGACCAACGGATAATCCTCTTACCAACTCTGCAGAGGCTTACCAAAATAATATTTTTATTTATTTAAACACATAGGTAACTACGTAAAAATCTTTATAGTAGGTGTTATACCTGATGTCAATGGTGAAACTGATTACATTGTCTCATTATGCCTAATACAGTACTTCAAAATAACAGAAAAATTCACCAAGTAATTGTTATGTTCCTTTTATATAGAAAAGAGAACTACAAAGCAAAGAGATCATTACTTATGTTATGCTTATGAAGTTTCAGAATCCATTGACTCGTCCGAAGAGGAATCCCTAGTCACACTTAAATCTATTACTATTTGGTCGAAAACAGTGTCTACCATCCCGTCCAATCTCAGCATTTTCTCTTCTTCCTTGATCACATGGGCTACAACATTAGCCCAATCTTCTTTCCGTATCCGTCCCATTATGAGTTCTAATAAACGTTGGACATCAGAAATGTTATATGTCACGTTTTTTCACGAGCTACGTAACCCTTAATTTGAGCCCAGATTAATTATATCGGGTTTAACTCGCAATGGTAAGGAGGAAGTCTCAAAATGGTGATGCCTCCACCACATGCTGGCGATATCTGTCACGATGCTATTTGATGACACTGATAAGCTCGGCCTTAACCATGTCCTCGGAAAATGGAATTCCTTTTTGTCCTAACCACCTCTGCATGTCTGCCTTTCTGGTGGTCATAGATGGCAGCTGTTCTACTAATCGGCTGTGATAAGAAGCGTTATCCCTTACTATTACTGAATTTGGCTCGACTCGTGAAAGGAGGGATTCAAACCATCCTTCAAAGCGTTCGGCGTCCATGTCTTTGTGATAATCCCCCGTTTTTTTGAATAAAAAAATGAGTGCACTATCGTCTGAAAAGCCATTCTCGCTACCTATATGGGCAACAATTAGTCGTTGCCCTTTACCCGTTGGTCCGCGTAACCCTGTTGATAAACCGTCCACAAATGCTTGACGATAACTAGTTACAGTAGTATCTTGCCAGATCTTAG